TGTGTGTGTGTGTGTGTGTGTGTCTTACTTCAGCTCATCCTCCTCAATGAAATGGCTCTTGTCCTGGTCGATGATGCTGAAGGCCTTCTTTACGTCCTCGGTGCTCTTGCCGGTCAGACCACAGGTGGAAAAGAACTTCTTGTGGCAGAATGTGCCAGCGTCTGAAATCAACGCAGGTTGTCACGGAATAAAATATATAGAGTAGCTGTTTATACTCCAAATAGATAGGCCTATATACCACCACTCGGTGGGGGATTTTATTGTGTAGTTGTCACCTTTGCACTCCGCCAGGGCTGCAGCGATCTTGCTGTCATCCAGTAACTTTTGGAAGGCCATTTTGATCTGCAGGAATGAAACACAAGTCCTGATGATATTTTCGATAATGTAGGATATGTTACTGGGAGCCATCTCTTACACTATCACATATTGTTGATGATACAGATTGTGGCTCAGGTCCACATTTCTTTAAAATCCTAATAGCTTAAATAAAAATCACCTTAGACACCAAAATGAATCCCCATCATCATTGGAGCAATGACAGAAATATTCCCTGATAAATTATTTCAATTTGTATCAAATCAAAACATTCAGTCCATTTCTTTCGAATGACACAATAGCATAATGCGTCTCCAAATCCCATGTACAAGGCTAAGATAGTCAGCTCTGAACTTCCTACTGCAGCTCTACAGATGCTAAGAGGTCAAACCAGTAATCCAGTTGTTCTTCTCCTCGCAATAAAAAAAGAAAAAACAGAGGAAAGAGGAGAAAAAGAAAAAAGCATTTCTCTTTTTGTCAAGTCCTTATTTCACTGTAAATGTTAAAAATCATTAAAGTTTTCTCTAAGGTTGTAAAGCCTGATGCTGAGTCCTTGTCCGATCCCTGGATTGTGTTTTTTTCCGTTTTCGTTCAAACTCACCTCTGGTGTCTTTGCTTTGCAGAGTACAGATGATACAGACAAGACTCAAGTCGACTGCAGTGATCTTCCCGGTGCTCCTGGTGACCTTTTTATAGTTTCACCCCATCAAAATCCGAGGTATAAGATAACTGACACCACTGGGGAAGGGGGGGTGGCGAACATGTGTCCTGCAGAGAGCTGTCTATTTTAAGTTTCACAAATGAAGACGCTTAAAAGGTGCGTTTGAAGAAGTCTTTAATATGCACCGCTGCTAAGAATAGGCCCTTACACTGCTGAGGAGGACGAAATGGAAGTGCTGCTGGCAACATACAGCCATATCAAAGACGCTGGATACTGATGCATGCATTAGAACTGGTGTAAGTGGCTCTAATTGTTTGTTTTTTCCAGCTTTTGGTGATTGGAAGGCACTGGCTATTGTACTCAGGACTTGAATTTAAGCTTACTTTGTGTGTTTAGATATGATTTGCCAAATTATGTTTGATTACTAATATGAAATATGCAAAGGTAGAGGATTTTGCTATTAAGTTGTACTAAAATTGTCATTGTCTAATTATGCAATATTATTTGTTGTGAAATTATGGCTGTTTCTATAATTGTTTTTGAAATGAAGTTATTATCATGCTGCTTAGGAACAGAAAAGTTTTTCCAAATTTCAAACCACCACATTTTGACTAGCAAGTCAAAGTTATTGCACATATTCTGTGAATGTGCTTGTTGTTGACCTCTTCATTTAGGATATTTATTGCACAATGCAACTCTTTGTGATCTCGTTTAAAGGCGTAAATGTTGGTCAGTGCAGCTCAACTTGAAATGCTGAGAGAGCAGCTTTGGCCTGTAGGAGGCAGCACTGGACTGACAGTAGACAGCTGCTATTGAGTGTCTTGGTTGAGTGTTTAAACTGCTGACCTGTACTTTTAGGTCAGCAGTCTTAAGTGTAACAGGACTTCTTCAGAGAGGACAGTTTAACATGTCTCAGCAGGGGAAGCACAGGAGCAAATAATGAACAGAACAAAGCCAGTGTTAATGTGATCAGGGCCTATTTGTCTGATGAGCTGTTTTTCTGCGGATTAGGTTTATGTATTTCTACAGATGAAAATGTGGAACACTTAAAATTCAATTCTTTGCTGAGAACCACTAAAGATTTGCATCTTGGCAGCAGCTGTAACCTGCTAAAAGGTCCTGCTGATGCAACAGTGGCTGTTAATAGCCCTCCTGTTGCCACAGCATATCATCTAATTGACTACGCAGCAGTTGGTGGAGAAAAAGACCTTGGAGCAGCACACCTAATTACACTGTGTGTGACAGCTATCCATTGCAAACCTTCCTGGATCCAGGAAGTATCCCAGCAAAGCCCCCAGGGCCACCCCCCGCTGTGTTTGCCGGCCCCTGGCCTGTGTCCAGCCACACTGCCTCTCATTAACTAATTATCAAAACAAGTGTTGGGTAGGTCATTTCAACTGTCTCTCAGCGCCTTCCGAGCATTCAGAGACCCTGGCAGGTGGAAACTCATTTAGCACTGCCTCACCCTCAGCCCTTTGTGTTGACATGCAGTAGCTGCAGCTATGTGAAAACAGTGGGTTGTATAATGACAGACAAGATGACAGATTCAAAGACGACTGACCTGAACGGGTTGACTTTACACCAAAAGAGTATTTATTCCTGGTTTTTCACTCATCCTCAGATCCGCAGATGGTGTTGTACAGTTTGCACAAGTCATTTTTCAGAACATATAACACACCTGAATAACATTAACAGTAAAATATGTGTTCCATGTTGAGAAATATTCCGCAGGCAACTCATAAATAAGATATAAAAAATATTCTTTCAGCTGATGATTACTGAATCTTGCAAGGAGTTCGCAGTTCCGTGAAAAGTGGTTGATCTTGGTCAATGGAAATTTATGCCTTTACAAGCGCAGCAAACTCTGTGAAAGTAGAATAAAACTGCCATTAGTAGAGAAGAAAATGTAATCAGATTATTACGTCATGAAGGTGGTGTGATGGATTCTGATTGGATCTATTCCATGACCAAAAGTTTGTGTGTGTGTGCAGATATAGAGAGTATGTGAGTTGATGTGAAGAATGAGGCTGCAGGTGTCAGGCACTTATGTCATGTCTGTCTTTGCTGAGATTTGTAGGAATGTAGCAGAATGCTCCGCAAGGAACTCTTACCATCGACTCCGATCTTGCCATCACCATCACTGTCACCAGCGGCGAGGAATTCCTTGGTCTCCTTGTCAGTGAGTGCTCTGGCACCAGCAGAGAAGTTCTGCAGGAACAGCCTGACAGGTGGACAAAGAAGAAGTTAAAATTGCAGCACGTCTCAGTCTGTATTGATTGAGACGAAATCATTATTCTCTTAGCAACAAAAAGATAATGTTTCTTTCGTACTGTCAATGTGTTATTGGACCCTAAAATTACAGCCCAGCTAAGCTAACAAGTATGGGGGTAAAGAAACTGTCCCCCCACTTTTTTTTCCCCTCTTAATTTATACCAAACAAACACAGTAATACTATATCTGCTGCATATTTTGGGCCAATGAGTCTTGAGTGTCAGCTGTAAGTGTCAAGTGCTGGAATGTCTTACTTCAGCTCTTCCTCCTCAATGAAGCCACTGCCGTCCTGGTCAATGACGCCGAAGGCTACCTTGACTTCATCGGCGCTCTTGCCGGCCAGGCCACAGGCGGCGAAGAACTTCTTGTAATTGAAGGAATCAGCAGCTGGAAGACACATTTTAACACCATTAGCACTCAGGAGCACGGCACAGACATTCAGTGTTGATGCAATATGATATTTGTGTAAAACTAAAAGTAATGTGACCAGTTAAATTTACTGAATACGAAGGTAGTGAGGCTCACCTGCGCAGCCGTCCAGAGCGGCTTTCACCTGACCTGCATCGAGCTTGGCGGCAAGAGACATTTTTTATTCTGAGAGAGAGGAGAAGAAGACACAGATTAGTGTGAGCATCACAAATCCTGTACAGTGGTCGTATTTTTGTGTTACAAATATCCTGCAGAGCTGAAATAAGGATGTTGTGCATCAGGGACATTCACACAGGCCAACTCTGAGGGCCTGGGACACCTGACTTCTGAGAGAGTTTAACCATAAAACATGTAAAAGCTTTAAGTCTGAGGGCTAAAATCATGCATCAGCTGGCAGACAGTAACCCCTAAAACTGCTTAAGGCTATTTCTGCAATATAGCTTCATAAGAAAATAAAGGTTCAGTCATTTTCACCATTGGAGAGCATCATATTCAAAGCCCTATGTTTATTGCTTTAATGAGCAACGTTTGCCCACTCAGCAGCAGCAGCAGCAGCAGCAGCACTCCTGTGTTGTTGTACTTTTTTATGGGCTACAGAGCTACTCTGCCCTCCGGATGTCTGACCACAGCAGCGCAGCTCTCACTCTCTTTATCCCAACGCGTTAAGCTGCTATGGCACTAAATAGATGATGCTCCCACAGGCCGAATTACGGTTATACGAATCACACAGCCGGGGAAACGAGATGATAATTTATCCGGTTAAGAGAAATAAAGTAAAATTGCGCATTTATCATCCACAAATGTTGATCCTTTGAAATCAAATGGCCACATTTCGTCCTGTGGTCCGAGTGGAGCTTGGCTATGCTGGTTCCATCTCTCTCCACAGTTTATAGTCCATGGGGGGGGGGGGGCTCCTTGTCTGAATCCCTGTCCTCCCAGTGCAATCTGCCAGAGAAGACTGTGAAGCCTCCGCGAGGGACGCACAACTTCCCACTCACCTTTGAGCTGCGTTGAGGCGAGTGAAAACCAAGGCGGACTCGAGCGAATGCCCCAAGACCCCGATCCCTCTCTCTTATATATCCACGAGCAACACCATTTACAGAGCTTTGCGTCTCAGTATCAGGTACCAAGATGCATGGGTTTCGAAAAAATGTGTCTACTAGTCTGGTCCTATTTTTAGGCGAACAAATGAGGATGCTACCATGTGCGCGGAGGCCTATAGCTATAGACGTGTGGAAATCCGACCAGGCCCCGCTGCGCGCTCATTCCACGGGATACGTTGCACTTCTGTGATTTATGGATCCCATTTATTTATTTGTTGAGAATGCTGCGAGTTTGATCTGAGTGAAAACTATAAATGAAGGGAATGGGAATTGGGTGAGATTGCGGGCCACGGGTCACAATATCTATTTTTGATTCCAGGCCAGATGCTGTTCACAGGAAATCATTAATTCACGGGGTTAAATGTCCAACACTTATATCAGTGTACATATATGTGATCTGCTTTTAAACTCCTATTTAAACACCATTACTATAGATAATCTCTGTGTTATTACCAGGATACCTGCGTTTTGAAGTCTTTTCATACAGCTGTCCGCATTGAATATAATTCACATATGTGATATTTAATCTTTAATAATTATCACCAGCTTCATTGTATCATCCTCTCTGTGGTGTGTGTGTGGAATCTCTGCACTAAAACTAATCTGGTTATTTCTCATATAGTTTTCTTTCTTTTTTTGAATGAGTTGATTTTAAACTTTCGGACTCAGGCTTTCTATTCTTGAATCTGAGGGATGGGAGTTGCGACACCGCCCTGAGAGGGATTCAGAGAGTGGATATGTGCAGCCCTGTGTCATTAGTTTTCTATACACCACATTTCCATATGGTTCAGCTGAACTGCACAGGCAGCGGGTAGAGCTGCGGAGAGGAGACACGAGCTCAGCGCCCTGCAGGGGACTGAGACTCCGGGGCCTTCACCGCCGCGGATCCCTGTCCTTAATAGGCAATGCACCAATCATTCATTCGACTATTTCCTGTGCGCGTGCGAACACGTGGACAAGTTAGCAATATGTTGACAACGACGCCTTAAACACAGCTCATTTTTCACTCGTTAATAACTGAACCCAGCGTCCTCCCCTCAGTGACTGATGGATGGGTTTGTGTGGCCTATATGACCTCTTTATGAATTATGCACCTTCAGACTGTTTCAATGTAACTTGATTTAAATCTAAATCTCAGAGACTCGTCTGACATGTGTCTGCTCTGTGTATGAAAAGTATTTCCCATAATTCCGGGGGAATGTCTCTGCTCGGTCTGCAGGAATTCGGAATCCGTCCAGCAGAAGGCAGTACTGGACCTAATGACGAGAACGTGAGGAATTTCTTGGACTAACAAATGCGCACTGACATGTGAAGTAGATTCCTGTCAATCTAAAATGCAAAATTCCGCCAACGATTTTCTTAAAAATCTGTGAAATCAGGGTTTAGACTTGTCCCCATTGCAACAGCTCTTTTGTTGGATAAGCTCTGAAGCTCTGTTTCCCACATCATACTGTCCAGTCATCCTCCTCCAGATCCTTTCCATGTGTTGAGTATAGCTGAGCGATTTCAGGCACATGGCATTACTTACATGTACCTTAATATTTCCTATTTTACACGTTGCTTTTTGTTAATAATTTGAGCAACTGCACTCAACAGATTTCACTTTAATGAAGAACACCAAGAACCAGCTCTCTGGTAGATAATGAGTGGTGAAATAGCTCTAATGAATTATCATCTAATCTTATCGGCTATCTGTTAATATCATAAACAATGCAGTGAATGATAAAGCTCAGACTGCATACTAAGGATTAAGTGAAAGTGAAAGCCTTTATATCTTGATGTGATTACGATCCCACCATAGACTCATAGGAATGAAATGAGACCCTTTATACATTCTTTATAAAAATGACAGCAGACAAGGATTTCACATCTAATAAATACATTTATTAATCCATCCCAGGTACCTGATTCACCAAACACACACACACACACACACACACACACACACAATTAATATGCAGCTCTCACCGTCTGTCCACCAAACATCTTATACACACACATCAACAAGGAGAGCAGCAGGCAGGGACAGAATATCTGAGGTTCTTCACATCAAACCATCTGGAGAGTCAGGAGTCATTTTGAGAAAAAAAAATCCATTGTTCAAAACAGGGAAAGACTCTGATGTCACATGCGTTCATTGTCTTTATTTCAGGAGGTCACAGAACTCTGAGGAGATCAAAAGAAGAGAGAATTCAGTTTTCTGCAGGTAATATTTCAGTGTTATGCAGCATTGTGACTAAACAAAGCAGAAATATCTGCTTGTTTTATTGAGGGCTCAGTTCTATAGTTGGTTCATGTGTGCTTTTCATCAACTGCAACTTCAGCACTAAGTGGTGGACAGCTCCTCTGTGCAGCGTGAACAGCATGTTTTCTCGTGTGTCACAGGCAGCACCCACCTTCCATCCCAATCTTGCCATCGTCGTCCTTGTCTCCTGCAGCCATGAGAGTCTTCGTCTCAGCCACAGTCAGCTCCCTTGCCCCCGGAGAGAAATTCTGAAGGAACAGTCTGATGGGTGAAAAAAGAAAAGAAAAGAAAATGTAATCAGCGATAAGTTCAGACTTAAATTAACTTGGACCTTATCTTTTCTGATGGTGTTTCTCCTGTTCCCCCCGGGCCTTTCTGAGATGTGGCAATCACCCTTTCTATCACTCACCAGTCCTTCCCCATGGATTACTCAACTCATTCATAGTCAAAATGCTTCTCCATTCATGACAACCCTAACCTTTGCTTGAGGGCCATCACAACCGAAGCACAAACAATTCCACACACCGTTTTGTGCCACCCTGCAAAACACACACACACACACACACACATCCATCCTTACTTGAGCTCCTCCTCCTCTATGTATCCGCTCATGTCTTGGTCCAGGACCGTAAAGACTTTCCTTCCATCTGCCTCAGATGAGCCGGTGAGTCCCACTTGTGCAAAGAACGACTTGAAGTTGAATGAGCCTGGAGCTACATGGGAAAATAGAGAGAGAGTGGGGGAGAAAAAGAAAAAGGGAGCAGGAAAGACAGACGTGGAAGTGAGAGGTCAATCACAGAATGACAAGAAAGCAAGAATGGCGAGGGGCTGAATAGAGATGTCGCATTCACTCTTTCGCTCAGATGACTTTCATTCTTCTTCCAATGACATTTACCAATATAGACCCCGCAGCGCATCACTGTTTTATACAATACCCAGCTTTGTCATTATGCTATTGAAACAGTAAAAGCACACTGAATATTGCCCGCGGCTATACTATAAACCTAAATGTTAAAAGCCCTTTGCTTATAGAGCTGAAATTCTGATCTAGAATAAGTTACCTTCAAGTAACTGAAAATTAATTGCTGACATGCACCCACTGCATGAGATATTAAACGATTTACACTGATTTTGATAAGATATTGAAATAAGGGAGGGTTGCCTTGAAAAAAGTGGTCCCCACTTTCATAAGACATTTTAGTTTTCTTCCACTTTTTATTGTAAGTTATAAAAAACCTGTTTATATTGATACATGCAAAAAGTCAAGATAACAAAATACACCTGAAAAAGTTTTAATGTCACTTTGCCTAAAACATTGCAGGGTATTCTTGAATAAAGGGCATGTAAGCACTGACATTTGATTTCCATTGGAGCGGTTGAGTGAAATCTGCCCTGTCATGCAGATATAATTGCTTGAGATAAATAATTAAGTGCTTTGGGATGTGAGGGCAGTATAACTCATGTGATATGGTCTTCCCTGTGCAAACGCTCAACATAAACACTTTGGTATCTGGGTGGTAACTCTCCTCCTGCCGGATGGCTGCCAGGTTACCTGCAGGCCCCCTGTGAACAACACATCATACAACCATCCCCTGTGGGAGTGGGTTTAACGATGCCTGTGTCTCTTGCTACAACATGTGAGAGGATGTGCAGTGAATTCACTTATTGCATAGGATGTGTTCTTGTGTTAAGGATCAGATGTGTGTAAAGTATGTGTCTCCCTGCATGTGAGTGTGTGCTGCATGTCTGACTCACCTTGACAAGCCTGGACTGCAGCCCTGATGTCCGCCTCGCTCAGCATCCCTGCAAATGCCATGGTCCTCTGTGGCAGCCTGAGGGATATGCACACACACACACGGAGGAAATGCAAAGTGATGGTAAATGAAACTGGCACAGGTGTTTCCTTCTGTCAGGTAAGAGTCGGAAGCCAGTCGAAAACTTGTGGATAGATTAAACCTTGTCATTACTCTGTGCATATAGTCTATCAGCACTATCTGACACTATGGAGCTGAGTTGTACCTTTAATCGCACACCACACTAACCAAAGATCGAACAGTGTAGACGATTCTACGTTGGAGCAATTAATTTACTGTGACTTAAAGCATAAGAAAACTGACTGATGGTCAGAACCTGCTTTTCTACAATGAAAGTTGTTGCAACTTAAAGGAGCAAATATAAAGAGGGATGCACGTCTTATTCCCCCCCCCCGAGTATTTTTCCCTCATGTATTGAAAAAAAATGAGACGCTCCAATAGATAGCCTTCACGCAGGACTTCCAGCTATCATCACACAAAAAATTTGCTCCGCACATGATTTTGCAAAGAAACTTGGTACTCACTGTGTTTTTGATGAGGTTTCCACGCTCTGAGCCTTTGATCTCTGCCTCTCTTGCTTTGTGCCTATGAGCCACCTCTTGCAGCTTCGTGATCCAGAGAGCAAGAAGCAACCTGACGTATCTGTCCTCAAACCCAGGGAGATTCCCCCCATGCAACACAGGATGCCTCCTCCTCCTCCTCCTTCTCTTCCTCCTCCTCCTTCATCAGTTAATCAGAGCAGATAATTTTCTCACTCGTACTGTTGTGCAAAACATTTTGACCTGATAGAAAATTTGATTGTAATAAGTATCCTTCCTCTTATGTTTTACTGCTGCAACAGCAACAACCACTACTCACAGTCCACAATGTAATTCTTATTAAAATCTAAATTGTTATTATTCATGTTGATAAGGGAATAAAATCAGCATGTTCAGGTAATGGAACATATATGAGTAGATTAGATGAGGATTATCACTACTGTTCTAACTTTTAGAATTAATTGTATCAAGTCATTTCAAAAAAATATTACAGTAGGTAAACTGTGCAGACACATGAATATTATATTATATTATATTATAAGTCAATATTCACTGTGCTATATTCATTCTGTCTGTGGAATATAATGGTTCATGTGAATTTCATTCACTGTTCATATTTTCTCACTGCACATATTTTTTCAGTTTTTATTTTATCTCATATTTTTTATTCCATTCACTTTTTTATATATTCCTTACACTTTAGTATTATTATCCTTAACCTTAAGTATTACATGGTACTTAACGATGGTACTTAACTTTTGACTCTCGCTTCTGTGATATTGTAAATTTCCCCAATTTGTATGTATAATAAAGGATTATCTTATCTTATCTCTTGTGTGCAAATACGTCACCTCATAAAATATCAGGTGCCTCGAGAATGACATCAAACGCCATAATGTCTTATTTTCAGCTATTATGATAAAAAAACGTTTTAAATACTTGATGCTATGAATGATTATGGGAAATAAGTCCAAGATGCAGTGTTAATATGAAAGAGGAGTCACGATGCTTCAGTCAAATGAGCCTGTGAGCCTATAAAGTGCAGTGTGAAGGTTCATGATTGGCCATAAAGGCAGAAATAAAGGTTTAATATGAACAGATCATCTCTCCTGACCAGCGCTGCCTCACATGTTTAACAAGTGACTGGATGTAAAAAGCTTTTCTTCAGCCTCGCTTCAGAGCGCTGGATTTACATGGCTGGTGGTACATCTCTACGCTGATTGGCTGTGGGTGTTTGAACCCAGGATTTTCTGCCCTGCGATTGGCTCGAGCGTGTGTCAGTCGTTTGAAGATTTCAGCCCCCTGTCAGTGACGTGAGCCGAGAGGAACATGGCGCTGTTGAGGAGGTTAGTCTGGTGACAGCCTGATTCATCTCCTGTAGCTGATGCTTTTTAATCCACATCGAGACAAACACGCGAAAGATGATATTAAGGTGAGCGCTCGCTTCGTCTCCATGGACACCGGGACACTACATCTGCTCGCGCTGTTTGCTGTCGTCAGCTGAAAATGTTAGCATTCACCTGCTAGCTGGAGCTAGTTAGCTTGCTAACAGCAAGTCACCAAACAGACCGAAAATATGCTCGTTCATGTCGCCGACACTGACGTTAAACTCGTTATGACCGATGACTGAGGCGGTTTCTTCAGCAGCAAATCGGACATTTTTTGTTTAGGACGACGTTTCCAACCAGCTAACGTCTCGTTAGCTAAGCTAGGAGGATGGGGAGCCGCCATGGATATGTGTTGTTGCTGGCCAGTGGGATTTTGCTGTCGGCGGTGTGGCTGTCGGAAGGTGCCCCTGTTCGTCATCCTCACAAATCAGGTGAGACAGCTGACACACAGCTACACCTCTGTCCGCTCACTCACTACAACTGATGCCATGTCCAGATGCTAACAGATGTGTTCCGCCAGCTAGCATTCGGCTGGCTTGGGTAGCTGTTGCTAATCAACAGCTAAAAGCTAACAACACAACATCGTGGCTGTGTGGATATTGTTTTCAGTATGTGGACAGTCGCACCTACATGGTTTTTTTTATTGAGTCACACAGCTGGAGTAATAACGGATATATGTCTTTTGTTCAAAGGTGCATGTTTAAATTTAAGTTCAAGCAACATCATGTCATCGTCACGACTCAGCTAACAGCAAACTATGTGGTCAACAGTCCTGTAACAGTGCTCAGAGAAACATCACTTATTAACCAGTTCTAGTTTGATGTTGATTGATATTTAACTGAAATAAATGCGTCTCCAGTGATACATCTGAGTTAATGTAATACAGCCTGGTGGAACAGAGGGTGGAGAGATGTTAACCTTTCAGTAGGGTGAGTCCATTCATTGACATATAACCACGTTTACAGGACAATAGGAGAGATGTTGCCACACCAGCATGGAAAATGTGTTTGTTCTTGTTTTGTAGTGAACCTTGAATACCTCTATGATGGTGATTATAGCCTCACACTTTGACTTCATCACATTACATCACAGTTTTGTCATGGGTGTGATCATTTGATCATTGAAGGAGGGGTAATTGTCTCTACATGAGAGAAAATCGTTTGCCGTTTTGTCAAATACTAGTTTGTTAAATTAAATATTGTTGCTATAGAGACTAAGAGAGACAGGATGACGTTGATTGCTCTACTTATCTGCGTCATCAATCAAGTGAAATATTTAAAGAATTTGATTGTTACACATTCTCAAATACAAGTATTTGTTTCCCTTCTGAAGAAAATACTTTTTACTTTTTAATAAAAAAAATGTTTCCATTACAGTACATGAATCCTTTTGAATGTAATAATTATTGCAAATGTAATGCAGTGGGTGCCATAAATCTGTCTGGAAAGAAAGGGGATTTCTGAAAAAGATGCTCGGCCAGTGTGGCCTCTCTTGGTTTAACCTGCTTCCTTGACAGAAATGAATAGACAGAAACATGAATATGTCATAGTGAGGGTCAGTAATGTGTAACCTATTCCAATCTTATCAGACCCAGTCAATGATTAACAATGGTGTTGTTTGCTCAATCATAACCCTACATACAGGATGGTGATGTCGCAATATAAGCACGGTTTTTATGCTTTTGTGAAATAGCAACCTGTTCTTTGCCCTGCTTCTCCAGACCTCATTTACCAGTGTGTACCAAGTATCATTTGATTTTTAACAGCCAAGTTTCAAGTGACATGTTCTCTGGGGGTAAAAATGTAGATAGGTCAGTTTGTAGTAACAGTCAGGTGATAGTGGCATGTCTGCCCTGTTAGTCAGGGTGGACATTGGCCTCAATTTTCTATTACAGTGGTCAGTGTTTACCACCTCAAGCAGCAAGGGATGCTGTTACTACAAACCAGTCTATGCTTTATGTTGCTGTCATGGAGCCTGTCACACTTATCCAGTTTCTTTTTTCATTCAATTTCCCTTACAGCAAACAGGAGGCGCTGCATTGTTACAGTACTTAACAAAAGACAGTGCATGCAGATATTGACTGTTTTGCCTTTTATTGTTTTAGTGGAAATATATGCAAACCTTTAATTGAAAATGTCAGGACTTTAAATATGGATCCGTACAAGAGAAGCCACAAGTATTGACTCCTTCATTTTATCTATGAGTCTCGGTGCTTACTGTCTCAGCAGACAGACAAATCTTATCCAAACACAAAGATATCACCCAGACAATGCCATCCTCCATCCTATATCTTAACTGATGTCACAGACATCCACTGTTGTGCACACTTGTAGGCAAAACCCACAAAAAGTGGGTCAGCTCCTCCTCTGCGTGAATGCCTAATGAAATATGCAGTGGAACCAAAATAAGACCTGGCAGCTCCCTGTCGTATTGGTCCCAAAAACCAGTTGAGTCATTTGATGGGACCTGCCAAGTCATAATATGAACCAATGACTCATAAAAGCCTAACTGAGGAGAAGTTATCCCATGTAGAGCTGCTGTGACCCAGCTCCTGCTTTTATCTGTCCAACTGCTGCTGGAGACCTGCACTGCCTGGAACCCTGTTGCTCTGCTCAAACGGACAGAAGGTGTTAGTGTCAAAAAGCAGCCTGCGATTACAGCCAAATGTTTCTCACCAGATTATGGCAGAGTTAAGCTTTTTATTGGAGCCAATTGTAATACTCCGTGAACGATTACTTGTGTCAAAGATGGATTCTGTTTGTGTATGATATAAACGTAGACGTGGAACTGGCAAGTGTTGGAATGAAATGGAAAACTGCATCATATGACATGTTGGAGCTTACTGGAACAGGGCATTTAAAACTTGGTTTATCGTTAGCTTGCTCTTGCGTTTATGATGTTAGTGGTTGTCGCTGGACTTGTCCACATGATGAAAAAGAGCTGTATCATATCAGGATGGTCCAATGCTGAAACAAGCTACATGGTATCAGATTTTAAATTGGCTTGATTTCATGGGTGTGATTTATGTGAAAATAAATTTAGCTTTGGGAAAGATGGTCCCTCTTTTTATTTCTTCCAGTCGTTGGACCTATTTAGACCTTGGACGTCTCTCCTGAGAGATCTGATCACAAGTGGTCAGCGCTAAGTACTAGTGTCAACTCCTGGCATAAAGCTGTGTCCTACTTACGTTTACTGTGACCAGATCTCACTTTCCCGCTCAATATGCAAATATACACACACGTCATTTGTGTTCGTTAATGATAAATTATGTTGTTTTTACCAACTCTGAGTTTACAGGTGTCGATGTGTTTGTGTCTTGAGGGAGATGGAGAGTGGTAGAGACAGAGAGGAGTCAGGAGGGCCTTAGTATGTCAGCCGAGTAGGGGGTCCTTCATATGTGGCCCAGGACACATTTGCGTTCATACAGTGAAGAGAATGTGACCACACCTGAAAGTGGTCTGAGGGATTGGATCTCAGGACACATTTGGTGCGGTCAGACCTGTACCTGTATGAATGTTAATACCATGGTCTGAACTTGGTGTGTGAGGCAGCCTGAACTCCCAGTCACGTTGTGAGGCCTTTCTGGTACTCACCTGGGTATAGCCGCAACTGTTCAGACCTCATGCACTGGCATAGAAGTGGGGAATATTCTTCAAATACAGATTTAGACCAACGTCGAATTTCATTTCACTTACGTTTAGCTAAGCTGCTGCTAGTTACTGTCCCTTTCAGAAAACGTTTATCTGTTCTCGTCACTGGAACAGGCACAAAGCAGTGGAGGGAGGATTTAGTTTCACGTTAGCCCTGTATCACCATTGCTACAGGCATGCTTAGTTTCTCTGTTATTCATCAGTAGTTCTTTTTCCCAGTGTATTTTTTTCTATGGTTAGGAAATCAAATAATTACTGCCAGTGAATTAGTTGTCCTGTTCACCTTCACTAGCTTCAATGAGAATAAGCAAGGCCCCTCATCTCCCTCCTGATCTCAAGATCAGAATTGTCTCCACTAAGAGCTCCATCCATTGGGTCTGTTTATGTATCATTAATATTTATTTCCTCTTCCCAATATATTTCACCAGCGACTGTTTTTGACTTGCAGTCTTGATGACAGAAGAGCGGTGTGTGTAATGAGTAAAAATAGATGTTTCAGTCATTTCAATAATTCACAGTTTACCACGGTATGTCTCTTTCCTGTGGTATCTTTAGCCGAGCATGATCTGCAGTCTTAAAACTAATTTCAGGTTAGTGAAACTAAATTCACCTTGTGAAGTGGACATCAGTTGTGGGGTTGTGATTCTGTATTTATTTTTAAGTGCAGCAATGAAAACCTAGACTCACACATTTGTAAAGAAATAATAAATATATCACAAGAGAGCGGATTGAGCGATCCTTTCTATTTTTGTCACTCATGTCATGGTTTACTGTGGCAGACATGAAATTAATCTCAAATTAATCATGGCTGACACATTGGATCATATCTAATGCTCCCCAGAGAACTTAATGATCGCTGCTCATTTCATCTGCTGGTGTTGTGCTCCCAGGCTGTGCTCTCTGCATACATGCACATCTGACCAACAGTGATCATACTGGTGGTAAGATCCTCTTGGTTGTTGGACTACATCCTCTACAAGCTCCTGCAGGTTTCTTTCGAGAGGATATTTTATTCATGAAAATGAGAGCAGATCATATTATTAGGTTATACAAATCAAGGTGACGGAAAATTAGATTTCTAAGATAACTGTGTTCAAGCTGACACGGCATCATTTGGAATAGCTCTTTTTTTACATATATGAGGACAGTTTGAGATTGAATTGCTCTGGAAAAGCTCTTGCTATTGAGAAAATTGAAAAATCCCAGTTTGTTGTTGATGAAATTCAAAAGCATAGAGGAAAAGATAATTTTTTTTACATTAAGAGGCTTAGAGTAGAAATATGGACAGTAAGTCTGGCTGTTCATTTATTCCGAAGGACTCTGACTGTGCTGCAGTAATATCTCAAATCTCCTCCATATGCTGATGTGAAAACATGACACCCCAGAAAGCCGGTTGTATTCAGCTACTTTCATCTGTCAGGAATTTGTAGTTGAGCAGACGGAGACTCAGTAGGTGTTGATTCTCCCAGTCACAGACAGGATGTACCTGAGGGGCTTTGACCAGTGGGAGACAGAACAAACACAGGAGGGGGATGGGGAAGGGAGTCTCACACAAATTTTCACTGGTCTTTAAGCAAGTTCACTCACACATCATGCTATGTTGGGATATGATGTAACAGGCTGAGATTGTGTTTACATTAATTACAAAGTGATACAATATAAGGGAATTAAACACGCATTTGGATTCAGGGAACCTCCTACGTTGGCCGAGGCGTCTCACACGACGGCATTCATGTAAAACCCAAATGCAAAAGTCACAACACGAATGCAAAAGTGACAATAGTTTGATGTATTTTGTTCTTAACACATCAAATAGACAAACATCACATTTTAAATGGCGAGCTTGGACTGTTTTGCAGAAACTACTGCTTACTCGACCGTACTAAGCAACTCTGCTCGTTTCATTATCATTACTTTTGTTGTGGTTGTGTTTCCATTGTGTGACTTTTGTAGTTGTGTTGTTGCTTTTGGAATCATGTTTTCCATTAATGTGCTTGTGGGAGATGTCTAGGCCACCATAGTTTCCTAGTGAGAACAGAGGTTATATCCTGAATCACGAGGGAGGGGTACGCATGAGGGATCTTGATTTATTGCGACAGGAGTTGCAGTAGTAGCCACACTTGGACAACAGGAAATGAGCAGACGACATTTGGGAGATGAGGAAACAAGGTGGATGTTTGTGCTGAACCTGCTCGGTTATAAGCTCACACCTACTGAAGCCTTATGAGACAAGTTGTGATTTTTGAATATGGGCCATACAAGTAAACTTTGATTGAATGATGGCTTACAGTCAACAAAAGGTTGAGCTTTTGTCTGAACTATGAGAAACACAACTGGCAGCTTTTTTTTTTTAAATACAGAAGATGAGCTCAAGACCAGCGTGAGAGAGAAAATCCATTTGCAGACAAAGCTATCACCAACACTTACACATTCTGCTGTCGTAGTAAATCTTCTGGTTATAAATAATAAAAGTGAACCACATTTGATTCATTGCGGATCAAATCACATCTGGTGTAAATATGTTTTTGCTGCCTAATGTATCTGCTTTTTCACTGCTCTACATCTTTCCTGTTGTAGCACACTATATGTTTCATACTTGGACATGCTGGAAAAAATTGTAATGCATTTTGTATGTGAAGCAGTCTCTGGAACAAAGGTGATGCACTGAACGAGAAATCGCTCTCAGTAGGATGGGAAAGCTTTTGCTGGGTAAATGCGTCCTGGCATAAGTGCAGTGAACGAGTATTACAGCTGAGCAGCGCAGTGGGTGTTGTTGCAAGGTTGCTGTCAGCCCTGACACTCGAACTGCTGGGCCAGCAGCATCCTCTCCAGCGCAGGCCCCCACCTGCTGTCACCACTGCTGCACCATCAGCTGCTTATCAGCCGGCAGAAACCCCCACAACCGTCTCTCTGAATGGCTGATGAGGGACAGAGGTTGGGGTTTTTGGCCTCACATTTATTGTCATGCCATGTTTGCAGAAACTGTAAAAACTCAGTAGAGTGCATACTTCAAAGGTTAAAAAAACCTGCCCTTTCTTGCAATGTTATAAAATAAAATTATTGATTTGCAGAAAAGTTAAATGGCTTCTTCCCTGACTCATACTGCATCATTTTACCTTTTCTTTTGTAATTTTGCTTAAAAACAACAAACAAACAAACATACAAGCCAACCAACATCAGATAGGGCTGATTACTTAATTATGATTATTGTGTGTCGTGCTCAGTGTTGCAGCTTTCCATTTGTTCGAGTTGCAAAGAGACAGAGCAATAATTTCAAGAATTTTCACTTAGAATACTGTGAGAGCACTGTGCAGGGTATTTTTGTTGTCAAGCTTAAAATGTACCTTTGTTGTGGGTGGATTTAGAGAATAGAGCCAGCACTCTTCATTGGGCTGTGTTACTGTCAAATACCCTTATGTTTATGCTTGAAACATAACCCTGTCAGGTGCCCTCCTTTCTACCCTCTTTTTTAATTTTTTTAAATTAATTTTGAAATGCAGCTATAAATGTGAATGATTGAACACAGTTTCCGTCTGTTTTTCTCACTTCAGCAGGAAGCACCGGGGACAGTGTTTCCACCTCGCTCTACCTGGCCTTGGTTGTGTCACTGACGGCGCTTGTGGTCCTGGTGGTGCTGCTGGTAAACTGTGTGACCTGCTGCAAGGAAAGGGAGATCAATTTCAAGGTGAGTCAGACAGACACAGCTCCCCTGGATCCCATGAAAAGTAAACCTAGTTAATACAGAGTGAGAATGGATTGATGTAGTGTTGTGGAAAATATACACTTATTTTTCCTACTCTTGTATCATAATAATATTCGACCCCTGATTTTTGTTGTTGTAGGAATTTGAGGACCACTTTGACGATGAGATCGACTTCACTCCACCGGCAGAGGACACACCTTCTATGCAGTCTCCAGCTGAGGTTTACACCCTCGCTGTGTCCCCTGTGGCCCTGCCTGGACCTCCACACCTCCAACCCCCTGCTCGCATCACAGGTCAAACAAATGCACACTCACTGACCAAAAGAGTTACACTGTGTGAAAACATAAATGTCATATGTATTCATTGCTTCAAACTTTGAATGTTAACATATAAATACATTAAGAATACAATTGGTTACAAATATGCACCACCTAATTTTGTCTGTTAAGTCCAAGTCACACACATTTCCATAAAAAATGTGCTGCATTTTTCAGTTTGGTGATTTAAATCAATCAGACATTTGTACATTTGTTCACCTAAGCTGTGACCTACTTGTTTAACTTTTCCAAAACACCAGATGAGATTTGTAATAAATCTTAATTACCATTACTTTGTGGTTGGTTTCACAGAGGGATCCACAAGCTTCCAGGTTGCACGTCACAATCTCAGTTACATCCAGGAGATCGGTAATGGCTGGTTTGGCCAGGTAACATTTTTCTCCTTTTCGTGCACAGATTTTTTTAATGTCCCCGAAATAAAAACAGAAATGTTAAGTCAAGGCAATGGGTTTATTCTACATGGCTTTTTAAGTAGAGAGAGCTGAGCTCTACCGCAGCCTGGTTTTATTGTCTGAATCTATTTTGAGTTGAGGTTTATGCAAATATTTTACTACTACTACTACTACTACTACTACTACTACTACTATTCCTACTACTACTACTACTACTCTTCCTTAGACAAGGACTTTTAATCGTAGTGATGGTTTTGTGCGTCACATGACGCTGTTATGAACTGACACTGGGACAAAGTAATGTGACCATGTGACAGGCTTAGATGTAACTAGAGGTCTGGAATTAATTACAAATTTGTGATAGTGACCCTGAAACAGCTGAGTTGAAGATACGCCAAAAGAAACTAGTAAATCTACAATAAGTCTGGCAAATCAAATGATAAATGAGCCATCTGGCAACTGCTAAAATGTTTTGTTTTGTATGACTGCAGTTGCTGGCATCCACTGACCTCTTAAAAATAAAAGCCTGGAGGAAGAAATATTGCATGTGTGTAATGTGTCTTTCTGTATTAACAGGTCCTACTGAGTGAAATCTACACAGATCCAGGTGGAACCAGAGTGGTGGTGAAGGAGCTAAAAGCTAATGCAAGTGCCAAGGAGCAGAATGACTTCCTGCAGCAAGGAGATCCATACAGGTATATATGCATTGTTTTCTCTTTGAATACCGTAATCCTGCTTGTCTGACGATTGGGCTTAGTTAATTATTTTGTATCAAATTGATTATTTATAGTATTTACCGAATTAACTTTATAGCTATGAGTGAGTGTCATAGATACGTCTGTGGTGTGACATGCTCTGAGTCAAAAATAGCTTTCATTACATCACTGTAATGTTAGCAGCTCCCTCTACCTTTCTTCTCACACACTGCATCAGACTCAATATCCTTGAAAGTCTTAAAGATATTATTACAAATTATTATTATAAAGATTGGGCTTTAATTTAATTTTGACTTCACAGAGTGCTGCAGCATCCAAACATCCTCCAGTGCCTCGGCCAGTGCGTTGAGGCCATTCCCTTCCTGCTCGTCTTTGAGTACTGTGAAATGGTGAGTGACCACATGCAGGGCTAAATGTTATTTGTGTGAACAATTGCAAAATTAACCAGCTGTTAATTTACAGCGATGTGCAAAGGTTTTGTGAGTTGAATAACAATTATATATTGAAATATCTCAAATGTAATATGAAATCAAATGTAATATGAAATCAAATGTAATATGAAACATTTAGGGATTCTTCTATTGAACATTCATTCTTTTTGCACTTGTGATTGAGAGATGGTTTCATTGATTTTTATGTTAGCACTTCCTCACTTAGAAGGCTTCATTAATTAAGAAATCTGAGAATTGGCACTTGTCATTCTGTCAAGCTCACAAATTTATTGGGCATGACCTCTTTAAATACTGTACAGCAAGCATGCCTAGCTGACGGGCCTGTTGACCTGTACCTGTGCTGAAAGCTCACTGTCTCAATCCCAAATTAGCTCTTAACACATTGAAGTGTTTCAGACTCCACTATGTCAGCGGATTTATTCACTGTTTGTCTTTATCTGCCCTGGGTGGGCCGGGCTCTGACTGCAGCCAGCCCCCCTCCCTCCTCATCTGCTCCCCTCCTCCTGCTGAAGTCGCATAGCTCGTCTAAGCCTGGGACTTCTCACATTCCCACCTCGCCCAGTAAAGCAACAGGCTCCATTTACGCTCCTCTGGTGTCAGCTCTACCAGTTGCTGTGTTTGTGCATTTTTATACGCAGCACCTTGTGTATGTCAGAGACTGATGAGTCCAGTTTAAAGTAAACAGAGTTGTTCCTGTGGGCGCCCACTGATGTGCAATGAAGCCAACTGTGTTGCATAATTTATACAACACTGTGTTTGTTTGATTTATTTTTATAGGACAAATGTTTATGTTTTATGATCAGAAATGCATTACTTAAAGTTGTGTAGCTTTTTGTGTCATTGGCTCTAAATCATTACTTAGTTTAGTAACCAGGATGGAAAACACAGCACAGGTCAATTCAGGCCAGTCTGTAATCAACACAAACAGTGATCATGTTACATGTGAAGGTGAGTTCAAAGTACAGCCCCCAAAATTAGAGTCATCGTTCAGTAATCTTAAGCAGTAGTCTCAGCAAAAACTGAATAATTTGAGAGAGCTAGTATCATTAACACAACTATTGATTTTGCATATGCTTGAAACAATGATGAGAGCTGTACATTGCATAGGTGTTTACATTTTTTAGTTTGGGGTTTAATGTTGACGACAGTTATGGCTGGAGGCCAAAGGTTTTCATGTTGTCAGCCTATCCCATTGTCATAACCAGAATGCCTCAGCAACACCTTGAGGGAATTTCTTTGCGTTTTGGAAAAAAACATCAATGAAACAGAAAACTATTGCACATCAAGAAAATGAAACTAAATGTATTCATGCAGATCCGACCAAGAACGCTTTCTGAAAACACAGTAGTGTTATGACTATTCTGAGCAGGAGCAAATCACACCCAAGGGTGAAGTTGATCAGGAAAAGCAGGTATTTGTGAATATATGTGAATCACTAACTCGTATTACAACCTCAGAAATAACCACAGTTTATTTTCTTCAATACACGAGTTGAATCATATGGCACCTGTTATATTCTGGCATCTATATAAGATTAATATGAGTGTGGGGGTGGGTATCTTGGTGCACAAGATGGGCCCTGGTCCACCCACTAACTGCTTGATGCCCAGATACTGTGTGCCCCTTTTCATGGTCACCAGGAATGATCCATGAAGTTAGACTTCACAGTTGAAAAGAGAGTTTAATGTTCTTCCCCTTCATTTTGCTTGCAGGAAAATAGAGCATTTCTGCTGTTTAGGTGACACAAAATATTTAGAGTAACTCCAGCTTGCCTTCCCATATTTCCAACCTGGAACCCTGGTCCAGCAGGATCTAGTCCAACTCATCTTGCCAGACATTACATACTATATATTTGTTTGGTTGTAGTATTGTCAGCTGCCCAGACCTGGCCGGTGTCCTGGCATTGTGGTCTTTCCCTGCCAGCTCTAGTGACATCTCTGATAGTAGATGGAAAGGAGTCAAGGTGAATGACTTCACAAGCATCTGCCAGCCATTAGGAAAGATGCCATGATGAAGAGCAGGTGCTGTTTGTTGAAGGTGATAATGTGTGAGCGTAGTGCAACTGAGTGAGGTCTAAACTCGTTATCTAGAGCCAGATAAAGAGTTTGGAGGACTCCGTCCTTACACAATACCTGTTTCCTTTCTTTCAATATGTAATTTGTCTGCACATAAAACAAAGAATTCATGTAAAAACAAGTAGTGAGTCTGATTTCTGGTTGCATTTAAAGTAAAAGACTTTGGCCTCTTAACTACTTCAGGCCTTGTCAATCATCCCCTAGATGTTGAAACATGTAATGTGACACTGCAGCTGTGCTGTGGACAAGGTGAATCCCAAAAAGCTAATAGACAGTGGCGTTCCCACAGACTGCCCGGTGATTGATGGTGTTTTTTCTGTCCTCTATCACCCGTGCTGGGTAACCCTGACTCAAAGCATTTTAGACATCAAAATACATCAAGCAACTGGTGCAGAGGCCACAGAATGTCACATACTACAGTGTGAGTGACAGCTTGTAATGCATGGATCCCCTGTCTGCTGCCTGGCCAGGACCCTTCTCTGATTCAGGGTGTCGGACACACGTTTGGCTTTTGCAAGTTGTTGATCATCTTTATTTATTTTGGCTGTTAAAGCATCAGTCCTCACAAAGTGATTGAAGTGCTGAATGTTATTGTCATGGCATTCAAGATGTAAGACCTAACACACAGCCCCCCCCTAAAGCCCACTGGACATTGTGATACACCTTGTGGGTAAAGCTGCCCTTATGTGGTTGCTGTCCTTTTTGACATCTTTAGGCTAATTGGCATTTTCAGAATTTTCAGAATTAGTCTGTAATTCACTCGGAACGAATTACGAGTTGACTTGAGAAAGACGGCTGTTTGGTTACACTCTGTTGATGTGTTGATTTTCTTATTAAAATACCCTGGATTTCCCAGTTCTTATAATGGCTCACAGTGAATAACTTAAAAATAATAATAGCATAGCCTGCCTTTAATATCCACTAGCAGCATTGGGGGGGCACTTAGAATAGATTAAAAACCATTATTTCTTTTACATACCTGGTGGCTGAGCCAGATATTAATCTGTGCCTTGTGCCCTGGAGACTTGGCAAAGTCTTGTTTATTCATGTGTCAGACACAAGGCCTAATTGTTTTGGCCTTTCAGCATTAATGTTGTTTCATTAACAGCACTGAACCCTTCCACTGGAGTCTAGTCCTGATCACCTGCTGTGGAGCCTTCACAAATAGAGACAGGCAGAGGGTATCACTTACTATACATTTAATTTAGCTCTTCTGTGAAACCCCCTTCTCAGAGTTCCTCCCTCCTTTTTTTTTTTTTCTTTTTGCCGCTTTGGCTGGAGCAGCCATGGTCCAGCACTACGTCTCCGAATGTCTGTAACCGAGTGAGTGATAGAGTTTATTTTGAGATCAAGTTACATTATTGGTCAACAGAGTGCCGTGTGACCGACTTAAGTTACACCACCGGTCGGCCTGCTGGGTTTTTAGGGTTTACACATTGGCTATTGCTCTTTCAAAATTAATTGGCATAGACACTTTCTATTAACGGACTATGTTTCGGACATCTTTAGCTAGCCCTAACGCTAATCACCTAGCAACAATCCTAGCATCTTTTTAGACAAACCGAAACTACTACATAGCAGACAGTCGCAGGCTGTTCCCTGCAAGCATGAGGCCTACCTCTCTCTACATCACAAGTGTCAGAGAGGCTGAGCAGCAGTTTGTTACCCAGATGGATGCAATGCACTATGGGATGGACAGGAGCTGCTTTCGCACATGGACTGTTACCCTGAACTTTTCCAGACATCACCTGCAGGACCTGTGTGAACACAAATCACCAAATCCAGACATTAAGCAGACTTTACCCAGCAAGCTCTGAGTACAAAGTCATTAGATTGAGCTGCTGAAATGGACTAAAACCCGGCAAAATGCAAATACGATGCAATGATGTCATTAATGTGAATTACAGTATTGTAGTTCCACAACTCAGTTTTGACCTAAACTTGTTGTTTGCTAGTGTACATATTTGTATGTGTATATGGAGTTAAAGCACTCAAATATTGCTCGCATAAGACGACTGATCTAAGCTGCTTTGCAGTGAGACAGCTCAAGGAGAAGTAAACTGCATGTGACCTGACATTTTTCACAAAAGGGCCTCCTATACTCTGTGACTCCAGTGTGTGTACAGTATGTTCTCAGTAGCTAATTCCTCAGGGGAACCTCAGTTCTGTTGGCTAATCAGCCATCTCTTATGCTTTGACTCTGTAGTGATCATAATCTCAAAAAGATACGTAATTTAAATGGCACATTGCTTACACACTTAGGAAAATTTAAATAAGCTGATCAATAAAATGCACAATCTCTCAAGTTGTAGCCAAGTAGTTTCTGGTTTTGAGCCAGCCAGCCAGCCAGGAACCTTTCTGTGGGGAGTTTGCATGTTCTTCCTGTGCCTGCTTAAATTTCTTCCCATAGTCAAAACACAAGCAGGTTAGGTTGAGTGGAGTCTCTTAATTGCCCCTGGTTGTGAATGTGAGCATAAATGTTTTTCTCTATATGTCTACATGCCAACCCTGTACCTCATCTCTCATCCAGTGTCAGCTGAGATTGGCACCAGCTCCTCCAGCTAACCACGTTAAGCGGTATAGCTAATGCACAGACTTTGTTTGCACACACTGGAAAATAGAAAGGCTCAAAGTACAGTATGCTGTAATAGACGTTTCTCAACTGTTGTACCGTCTGTTACATGCTGATTACTGATCACCACAGGTGTCTACAGAAATTCCCACACAGCCCTGGGTTGGGAACCTGCACACAGCTGAGACCCTCGTTGAAATTTAGATTTACTGTCACTCAGGGCTCAGTTCAGCCACTGTGATCTCAACCTCTTGTTTCAGATTCTCTTACTTGTATCAACTTCTCACATCACTGTGATCAATCACATTATTGAGATGAAATGCAACATTTGATAAGACTTTTAATATCACTTTCTAACCATACGTATGTAAAAGTCTGTGTTTGTTCATTGTGTCGGGGTGTAGTTAATGCTCAAAGTGCCTCATCCTTGATCTGTTGTCCCATCCGCTCTTGAGAAACCCAACCGGATACGAGCACAGTGAATTTCACTGACGTGAGCTGGACTCTTTTATTTATAAACTCCTGTGACACAGCATAGAGGTCCATTAAACAGCTTTACCCTTATTTGGTGCTCTCACATCAGCAGTGAGAAGTGCTGAGGAGACAGTAACGGGGGAGCCTACTGCCCCTGTGTGGCGGTCTCTGCAGAATGCATTCTAATACGACCACTTGTTAAATTCCCTCTGTATCTATAATACAAAGATAGTTGACTGTTTACCTTTGATACTGATGAGCTAATGAATGTGTGTGTGTGTCTGCAGGGGGATTTGCGGGGCTATCTGTCTCAGCAGGACTGGATGTTCAGAAACGCTGAGTTACTGCAGCTGCAGAGGATGGCCTGTGAAATTGCTGCTGGCGTCACTCACCTCCACAAACACAACTTCCTGCACAGGTAGCACTTCAGAATTGCAACACTAAAGTAAACACTCAGGTTTTATTCCCACTAAGCTAAGCATTGTCTTGTTTTTTTCATAGCAAAGCTGCTGTTTGGGGCAGTGCTCAGTCGTAAACACTAAGACACTAAGATTACACATTTAAATGACACCCTCTCACAGATTCTTTACTTTGTCCTGAGTTATTGCTTTATGTTCTTGTGCCCAGAGCTTCAATTAATAAATAGATGTAGATTACACATTTATTTGTTTTTAATAGAGAATGAGTCAATGTTATTATTAGAAAAATGAAATGGGACCACCATTACTTAACTTCTCCATGTCAATAAATTTAATACATATTATGTCAAGCTAATTTCATTATATTAAAATCATTTCTTGTATTGTGTGATTCACTTTTATATTGTTGCCCCAAATGTCCAGATCAATGAATACTGCCCCTTTTTCTTGTTATATGATACATATGTAATGCTTCGCAACTGACAAGAGTCATAAACCACATAAGATGAGATAGTTAAGACTTAGGTCAACTGTTAGTTTTACTTAAGTGCTTACTGTCCAACCCGTTGCAGGAGTACCGGTGTTCTCCAAAAAAGGTGTGTATAGCAGAGTGGTTCCGTTTCATTTTTACCCCTGCGAGTACAGGATGTCTGGCCACTAGCAGCCAGCAGGGCAAAGGGGGTGTTGGAAATCTGTGGCTTGAGGGCAACACACGATGCGCAGCTCATCAGCTCTATTTTGCATGCTCAGAATAAGCTCAGTGGGTTCCAATTACACAGCTCCCATGCATTGCCACAGTGTCAGCTGTCCACTGCCAGAAGGATATGATGATTCTGCGCTTTGCATGTAAAAGGATAGCCTCGTATTGGGCGTTGTGTTTTAATCCTTGTTACAACCCAGAGGAAGTTCTACGAGCTTCCCTCCATTTGAACAAATTTAACTGAAACTAATGAAATTAAAAGTGATATCTATATTTTTTGAGATTATGCATAAATATAAGATTTTTGTGGTGTTTTAACAAAAAAAGAATCAAAGAAGGTTACAGAAATTGAGTTCAACACCACATGCTGACAGAAGTGACTGAAGGGCTGTTGATGGTACAAGCAACACAGACATAAGACCCTGGAGCTGTGTGGGCTGATATCCAAAGCTGAAACTTCAGCAGTGGTGCTGCTGAAGAGCAGACACACAAAATGTGCTCTATGTCATGATTCTCTACTGATGTCTCCATTTGATTTTGTGTCTATGGTGCAGATTCAACTTTGTGTTCACAAATCATTCTAATTAAATCCTAAAGACCAACCACAAAAAGATTAAATTGATCATTTAGTCATTAGAAAAAAAACGACTTTCTGTTTTTTATTGAAAATGTAAACATCATGTAAAATGTTCTGAAAGGTGATTATCAACAATTAATGGAAGTGTATGGAATGTTTTTAACCACCGTGTCACTCAGAATCTAAAACGAAAGGTTGTTTCCTTGAACACAGATGATGTCAGTTAACGGTTTAAATAAAGTTACACTAAACCGCACGTGTGTCTTCTGGTATGGGAACGTCCACTACCGCGCCACGCATTAGCCTTGTAGGGTTAAGATGTTGGACCCATTTTCTTCCCGCCATGTTACTGTATGTTGGGCCCTCAGCCAACAGCAGGGGGACAGGAGGGTTTAAAATAAATCTCCATCTATCTTACAGAGATTTCAGTGGGTCTGACAGTAGCTTGGCCATATGCACACAAGAACATTGGTGTCAGCAGTGTTTGTTGTTAGGTGGGTAAAATGAACTTGGAACTTGTGCACAGGGAATACCTCAGGGCTAATGGGAAACCAAAGCCCATCTCTTCATTCAGAGTGAATGAACGACCATATGTCTGCTTAATGTGCAGCGACAGCCCCATAGCCTCTTACACCCTCTCCTGGGTGACACACAAAAGGTTTAGATAGCTTGTGTTTCGCTCTAGAGAACTATCCTGCTGCTGTATGCATAAGTCAGGAATAGCCCCTGTATGAGTGTCGTTGCAAAGTGAGGAACAGAGGTGAAAAAGGCCATCTTATCATTTCATGTAGTTGCCAAAATTATTTAGGATACTTGACAATTTCCTCTGTCCTTGATTCTTGCACTGTAGCCGTAGCCTCTGAGGTTAAGAGCAGATGCTAGATTCCTTTTGAACTTGATAAGCGTGGTTTTCTACACACTGAATACCAGAAAAATGATGATGCTCGGGCAAAAAAGTGGCAAGAACAAACACCTTCTGGTTATTTATATTCCAGTCTTGCAGTCTTCTGATTTACTTAAATGATTTTGCAAATATTGAGAACCATAAAGTATCTAACCAAACTCTGTTTTGGGTTTTTTCCGTGCTCTCTAGTGATTTGGCTCTGAGGAACTGCTACCTGACTGCAGATCTTACTGTCAAAGTAGGAGACTATGGAATTGGACCCTACAGATACAAAGTAAGCTCTTTTTCTTTTTCTGACATTTCTACATTTAGATAAATTCATTTCATTACTATCTTCTGAATCTGTATATTCTGACCAGGTCCATTTCACACAGACACATAAGATGGATGTATTTATTTATTTTAGTTTTACTACTAAATAATGATAATCTGAATTTAAAAAAATAGCCTTTTCAGTGCTGATACCAATCCCTTATTTAGTTTCATCAGAATTTCCCAATGAGATACAGATTAACAGCGGTGATCCTGCGAGTTTTACGTCACCTGTTTTCATTCAACATAGTAAAAACATTTGCATTCTCCAAAAAATCAGGTTTCCGAAACACTGCCTCAACCTTGTGCGCATCGAATAAATTTACCAAATGAAAAGACCCTTGAATTTTTCATAGCTCCTAGTGCCTGCTATGCTCTAGCAATCCAAAGGTTCATTAAGGCCCTGTGAGGTTAACAGCGCCATCTGGAGTCTTTGTAAAGTATCTACGGACAAGTTTATTTGAAAAGTAAGATTCTACATTTAACAAATTTAACAAATGATTCCTTCATAAAATAGTCGAGAGGTCCTCCACTTATGGGGCTTGAATGTAAGATATCAATCTGAAGTCTGGTTGTTTGTTGACCTTAAATCATGGCACCAGCTCCAGATGAGGTGAAAATGAATCTTGTCCTTTATTGGAGATGTTTTGCTTTAATCAGCTGCTAAGTATTATTGTTCTCCTGTAACTTGCTGCCTGCTACATATGTCCCAAGGCAATTCTCTCTGGTGCATGCATTCTTCAAATACTGCTGATCTGACAGTTTGGCTGTCTGAATGTAATACTCAGAAGGTCACCAAGTGAATCTATTTCTGTAAAGAAAGGGAGAGGCACAGTGAGAGCACACTGCCTCAATGAGAGCTAATTTACAGTTTGATGTACATATTTACACTCTTTTATTGAAGAATTTTTCTTTTTTTGACTCAAAAAATAAATACCAGCAGCCACAACAATTGCCAAGCACTATGTCATCCATAAACCTGCATCTAACAAACACTTACATTATTAAATCTGAAGGGGGTCTTCATACAGCAACGCTGAATTTGTTTGCAACTCTACATAAAAGGTACATTATATAGGAAAAGGAAGGTAAAAGATATCATTAAAGACACCAGCCAACTACATTTTCTCCATCTTGTAAGCTTTGTTGTACAGGTTTTTCCAGAATCAACTGATAATTGAAATGTTGACAATGTTGTTACAGGAGGATTACATCATCACTGAGGATGATGTGTTTGCTCCGCTTCGCTGGTTGGCTCCTGAGCTTGTGGGTGAACGCCACGGGGGTGTGATCACTATAGAACAGACCAAGCCCAGCAATGTGTGGTAGGTCCATGACCACAGCTCTATACTGACAGCTGGTGACATTTAAAGAACATGTGTAATATATGTGAGATAAAATAAAGTATCACAGTAAGTTTCTCTGTAATTCACTTCTTGCTCCTCGCTGAGAGAACAAGCCCGTTCTGCCTTTACCACCTTAAAAATCCCCCAAAATCGAACTAATGTCCAAAATAAGGTTTGATTGAAATTATGTTGATGTTTTAAAATAATCCTCAACTAAAGAGTAACTCAAAGTGAAGTGTTTGAGTTAGGCCCCTATTATAACTTCTTAACAAATCATGTAGTTTGTTTATACTAACTGTTTTCTTGGCTTTGGATATTCGTAACAACTCACCTGTTGACCTGCAATAAATTCCAACAGCTATTTTGTCCTCACTCGTCTGCAGGGCCTTGGGGGTGACATTGTGGGAGCTTTTTGAGAGCGCAACTCAGCCGTATCCGCATCTGTCTGACCGGGAGGTTCTCAATCATGTGATCAAGGAACAACAAGTCAAACTCTTTAAGCCACAGTTGGAGCTGCCTTATTCTGACAGATGGTGAGTCTGTGTGTGAAATGTGTATTAGAATAAATTGTGTAAATATAGTGTTGTCAAAAATGAGGAACAAACAAGTATTTGGCTATTCGAAATAGAAAGAGATGTCTGATTAATGTGTAATTGCAGGTATGAGGTCCTGCAGTTCTGCTGGCTGTCCCCAGACAAGCGGGCTACAGCAGAGGAAGTGCACCGTTTGCTCATCTATCTGCGCATGCAAGGACAGAAGGACATAGAAGAAGATTTTGAGCAACGCTGGGATGCTCTCAAGCCTAACCCCTCCACACGGCAGACCACTGTTAGCCATTCCTCATTCCCCATCTTGGAACAATTTGCTGATGATGCCATGCGACAGGAGATCGATGAAGTTTTGACCGTCACTGAAACTAGCAAAGGTCTCAGCTTTGAGTATGTTTGGGAGGCAGCTAAACATGACCACTACGATGGCAGCCATAGTCGCTCAGGCATGGACACGACATTGAACTATCATAGCATGTTCTTTCCTGTTTCCAGTGAAGATATCCGGGCCCATTTCCCTGATCCGGAAGCCAGAGCAGTGGGTACAGAAAGTAGTAACACTCCATCAGGAATACCTGGGATTGTACCAGTGTTTGATGCACAAAAGCCATGCAATGGAAACGAATATTACATACAACTAGAAGAACAAGGGGAGAGCAATGTTGGGGTGGATGAGAACAGAGGACAAGACATGGACTATAGTTCAGGTCGGCAAGATTTTGTTGTTCTCCAAGATGTCCGTTTGGATGAGTCCAGCACTGATGCAGACTTTTTCCACCAAAGCATCGACTCCAAGGATTCCTATTTACCAGACAGTCACATATGGTCATCTCTTGAAAATGACAGCCCATATCACACCAACATTTTTACAGAGGGAGGCTCCAAGCAAGAGGATTCCCCTTCCTGGACACAGTCTTTTATGGAGCTTCCAGAACGCAACGGGAACCCTTTCCAAAAAGGTTTACCTTTGGACACTCAAGAGGCAGATGAAGATAAATCCTATGGGAGTTCTTTTTTAGGGGATAGTTCAGAAGCCACTCACCGGATAGATCCTGTGAAAGGGGAGCAGGAAAACACAGATATGATGGGGCTTCTGAACACTGAAAAACTAGCAGACAACTTTATGTTTCTCAAAGAGCAGAATCTGATGAAAGATGGATCAAGTTTCTTAAGTTCACAGCAGAATTTTCTTTCACCTGGCATAGCCCACCAACCTGAAGAAGCATTCAAAATGCGTTCTTGGGACAATCTTGAGAATTTAGGCAGCTTAAACACAGCAGATACATATTCCAAACCTGCAGCAAGTAGCACGTCCTCAAGACAAACACTTTTAGACTCTCCCTGTACTAGCTTAGGGGAGATAAGTCAGTCTCTGGTAGAAAATAAAACACTGGTGCCTTCCATTACAGTGATCACAGACGATAACACAAGCAACCAGCTGCCAGTTAGCTCTTCCACTGAAGACCTTGGTCTGCTGCAATCCTCAGAAAGAGGTGTAGACTCTGGTTTATATTCTACCTCAGAAAGGTTTGAGGTTACCATTAGTCAAACTGATGCCCACACCCCTGCATTTTCTGAAAGTGCCACTATAGACTCATTGTGCGCAGATGCCAAAATTCCCAGCCTTGAAGACGACCTTGGAACCTCAAAGGATAGTGCTCCACTCGTGGGCAGTGAAATGCCTGAGAACTTGGAAGTCCAAGTCTTGGCCTCAGACAACGGACACAGTGAAGACCTTACAAGCAACGATCTGTTGAGTGAACTACTCGAGGATGCAGATATAGAACTGGAAACCACTCTATCTGACCATGACGAATCCTTTGTAGATACTAATGGACAACCCCTTGTGAGATCTTCTCTGTTGGTCTCTGGGCCATCGTTGGACCAGATCAGTCAGGACAGTTTACTGGAAGACAGTATGTCCACTACTGTACCAACTATAGACAATTCAGCGGAGACACCAGACTCTCTTGACTCCCTTGATATCCATCGGCTTGGGGAACAGGGGGAAGAGCTGAATGGTCAAATAGCTCAACACAAACTCCAGCCTCCACACAAAATATCAGACAGTGGGTATGAGACAGAGAACCTGGAGTCTCCTGAATGGAATTTTCAGGCAAATGCCACAGTCGACTCCCCTGTCAAAAATGGCACAAATGTTGCAGAAGAAGAGACAGAAGAGTCCACTGCTGCAGCAAATCTGGTTCCACCAGAAATCATCATTTCTGAAGTAGAAGTTGTTCTAGATACTCATAGTGAGGATACTGCTGAGGACCAGCAGCCGGATCAGGTACCTCCTGCTCAGGAAATGCCCATGGGCAGTAATTACAGAGACTCTGCCTACTTCTCAGACAATGAATCAGAACCTGAGAAGAAGTCTGAAGAATCTGGAGGTTCTGCTGAAGTCCTGTGGCTGAGGAACTCAATTGACGAGGGCAGCAAACCCTCTGCAGGTCCATCACTGGAGCTTCACGAGGACAGGGATATCGATTCTTTATTTTCTCAGCAGAAATCTTCTGGAGCTGCTGAAACACAAGCGGTTGAAGAAAAACCTGCTATTCACGTTTGGGGCCTGTTTTCACAGGCAGATTCAGACATCACAGAGAAACGTGAGGGGGAGGCAACCATCAGCCATAATGAAGCTGAAAACAAATCAGACTTTATCAAGGACGCAACAACTCTCAATCAACCAGACCAGTCTAAAGATTCAGAAACCTCAATTCCACCTCCTTCTGCTATCCCATCAAAGCAGGAGAATGCAGTTCACGCTAAACTAACCAGGACCTACGCCAGTGATGGTCATAAAATAAAAGAGCCGGACATGGAGGGGCGTTACCTGGGGAGGCGGGATGGCTCAGGATTAGATGTGCAGGAGGATGGCGTAGATGCAGATGAGGAGGACGAGAACAGTGACGACTCCGACGATGACGTTCGTGCATATCAGCTGCACAGCTCCAGTTCAGAAAGTGAGGATGATGCCGTGCATCCAGTGCCGCTCATTGTCTCAGACGACAGTAGTGCGAAGAACCTGAAGAGCTTGCTGAAACCCACCACTCTCAACGTGGAGTCATCTTCCCCATTTTCTGCAAGGTGCGATAACTCCAGAAGAGCTGTGTCCTTCTTCGACGATGTCACTGTCTACCTGTTTGACCAGGTAAAGTATTATCTATTTAGGTTGAGGGTTGGAGTCTTGTGTTTGCATCTACTAAGACGTTTGTGCAGACATTCTGATTAAAATTAAATTCCTTCTTATGTAGGAGACTCCCACCAAGGAACTGGCTGACCATTCTTCAGGCTCAAACAGTCAGGTACCAGAGTTCAGCAGCCCAGTGTCCACTGCCAGCTACCTAAACCGCTTCACCAACTCTGAAAGCTCCACTGATGAAGAGGGTAACACTAAATCACACCAGATGAATGCACCTACGAAACATCTGTCTCTGCCATTACATGTCGTGACTTGTTGGTTGAATCCCCACAGGAGGTGGTTTCGAGTGGGATGATGACTTCTCCTCCCCGGCACCTGCCTTCTTACCCAAGACGGATAAAGACCCAGTATCTAAGGCGATGTCCTCATCTGCGACATCTCGCTTTTCCTCTCCGCCCCCTGCAGCAGGGCGCGTGCTGGAGCCCAGCTGGAGCAGCTCCTCGAACTACTCCCGTTTCTCCATCTCACCGGCCAGCATCGCAAGCTTCTCCCTCACACATCTTACCGACTCCGACATCGAACAAGGAGGCAAGTTGATCATTGAGATATAGTTTGAGATGAGAATATCAGTACCACTCCTGTATGTGTACGGTAAATTTCAAGCTTTTGCAGATAGCTACTTAGATTAGCATAAGCTAAAGTCTATGTAGGCTACTTGGAATTTTCTCTGTAGTAACAAGATAATATGATGTAACTAATTATTGAGGTGATGGTAGGTGGATATGTTTACCTTTGGATAAAACAACTGTAACAAGTGTAATTCACAAGATAATAAATTAGTAATTATATGAATTATATGAATTTATTCTTGCACTATCATCCTTGTTGACATATTTAATGTCTTTTTTCAGATTTTACATGTACCATGTTCATTAGGTGTTAAAATAAGTTGTTTAAACTCTTTTTTTATTCTTTACTTCCCCTCAGGAAGCAGTGAAGATGGAGAAAAAGACTAGTGTGATAAATGAAGGGACCATTGACCATCACACTACTGAGAAATTAACTTGAACTCGCACTTTTTTGGGAATGGAGAACATCTGATTGAGGACGCAGGGCACGTCTTGTGGGGCAAACCGTGGAGGCTTCTCTCAGGCAGAACTGTTCCTCGTGGAGCCATTCATGAGGACAAAGGCGGTAAACTGACTTTCAGCAAATAAAGACGGACGAGGCCCAGTCCTAGCCTGAGTCACATCACCTCTCCAGCTACATCAGTGTGTGTGATTTCAGTTCAGTGCAATTTCACTTTGGAATAAAAATTAAAAAAAAGACAGAAAATGACTAAAAACGGGCCGAGCTTCTAAATATTTGCTTTAAAGACTCGTCGAGCTCATTCCAAGTGTTTGGCTGCTTCTTTTTGTTGTGTGTCTAAGTGCACTCCTTCTCCAGGACTTTTGCGTCACCAAAAAAAAGACTTTATGTTCTCTATTAACTGACATACCGGGCTGGCAAACCTCTCACTACAGCCGATTTAGGAATAAGCTCTTTGATTTCAGCAGATGTAAAACTGAACATTCAAGCTGTTTCTGCACCATTGTTGATTTTGCTTCTTCATGTTGTGTGATTATTTCGGTGGTTGCCTTTTTATTTTTTGAAAGAGTGATTCATTATTTTCGTAACTTTTTTTTGGGTGATGTTATTATCTCCAATGTGGAGAGAAGCTGTGGTATCCTTCTGTAGCAGATTGACACACAGAGGATGACTGGATAATCATCAATCCCTCATCTGCAAAGGTGACGCACTGTATGCTCCTTCATCTGAGTTTGAAAGGAGCATTTACAGTAAGTAGTTTCATATTTTTGAGACGTCTCTGTAAGAATTGTGTTATTTGACAAGGATTGTCATATAAATCCTTAATAGTCGGGAGGAAAAGCTTAAACAAGTAATTCATGTTGCCACGCTTAATTTTTTCCTCTGATATGTGCAGGAAGCTGCTTGGACGGTTTCGTCTCGACTCCTCGTCACTCGGTCTGATTAGCTGTCGATGTTGTAAAGACAACTTTACTAACACTACGAAATTTCAAATCACACATCAAGTGAGATTGTAAAAAAAAAAAAGGGGGAGATTTTATTTTTAAATGTCAGAATGAAGAAATATGTGTGGTAACAAATGTGCAATGAATTCCACGTATCGGGTGAAAATAGCCGATATAACTGAGGAGATCATAGGATGATCTGGTGAAACGCTGCGGCGTTTCTTAAGTGACGTGCAGGGACTTATTAAAGCTTCATTTAAAAAAAATCACTACTAGAACAAATAACACTGCTGCTTTTATCAGAGTTGTCTGCCTTTGTTTTTTTTTACTTTGTGTCAAACTTTACGAACCTGTTCAGATGGCATTCTCCTCCTGAAGGACCCTTTTTACAGCACTTCATTGTACGTTATCATTTGCAGGCCATCTGTTGTCTCTGTTGCTGTGCAGGGTTGTACAGCTACAGGAAGGGTTTTCATGTACAGCTATCAAATCAGTTCTTTGAAAACTGTAAGTTCTATAATTACTGTATGGTTCTCTCCTTTCAATGACTCAAAACATCTTAAATTTCACCTGAGGAACAGCTATACTGCACCTGTAGTAGTTAATTACCATCTCCCTCCGTCCCGTACAGAAGGCACTGTATCTTAGACGATGTTAACCTCTGTTTAAAAACCAGCAGCCTGTGCTTCAGTTAAACTTGAACATTTATTTAAGGAAAACTTTGTTTTATTTGACTTCAATATACATTTGCTTAATCTTGCACATTTGAAAAATGTAACTTAATGTTGAACTGTTCTGATGTGTATATAAATGTTAATTTTGTCTGTAAATGGGAAATGATGTAACTTGAGTTGTAGGTATGAGGTTTCATTTTGTAACTTAAAGCTGAGTCGATCAGAGGAACATATCACAGTCGTTGGCTAAAAAGCAGTTAAATTAAGACGCGGAGAAGCGGATGTGAAAAATAATTATGTCCTTTAAACGTGTAGATTTTAAAGATATTTTTACTTCATATTGATCATGCTTAGTGTAATTGAATGAAATGTTTATAATTACACTGTTTAATATGAAAATAAATGCAAATGAACTTCTAATTTTCTTGTTATTGACCTTTCTCTGTGGGTTAGCTGCACATAGTAACTGTGAGAAGGAGTTTGGTGTTTTTTTTCTCAGGCCAGGACTGAACCTAAGCTACAAAAACCTGGGACATGTGGCAGCAGGTATTAATGATACATTTCATTTCCTTTACACACATCTTTATACGTCTACATTTAAACAAACTTATTCATTTTACAGCTGCAGTTACCAGTGGTTCTCGGACCTTTTTGGCTTTTGGCTTTCGCGCTAAAAAGCAGCAGCATGTTGTTGGAGGTCATATGCCTGTCACCACAGACTGAAAAAACAATGAGCAAAAAACAGGTTAGTGCAACCAAACTTATTTTCCCTCTTTCTCCTCCCATTAAACATCTAGAGCTGGAGATATTAGTTTGGATTTAATGAGGTTAGACCAATGATTTTGTGGAAAAACCACATTGGACACAAATAATTACAAAGTATCTTATCTTAAGTCTTAAAATATATCTGCTGGCAGTTATGGCTTCATTCAAAAATCACATAGATCTGTCATTTCACAGTTGGCTCACAGTCTGTATTCTAGAGTTTTCCAAATCCAAACTGAAATTATGTCAAAACGTAGCAACATTTTAAAAATTTTTATTTCACATTTCAAAATGCCCTTTTTAAGCTGCTATGCAGCTTCAGCAGTCGTGGCCGGTCTGTGGTTGGGTGTCATACTAACTGGAAGAACTTCATAGTCACTCTTAATTAAAGAGCAATATATTTCAATACAGTGTGGATATCTGGAATTTTCCCTCTGGAGGATGCCCTTGAGTTTTAGGAAGGCCTGTCGTAGAGCTGTGGGTGAGGAACACTGCATTGCAAACATGTAACAGGCCAAAACGTATGGAGACACAAAATTCAACAAATTCATAATAAATAATCATAAATAAATAAAATCACATGCAGCACAAACACAAAACAACTAGAAAACAAGACGAGTTAGTTTGGTACCCACTCCTTAGCCCTTAATGGAAGTCCCACCCTCTAAGGTTTTCACAGGATATGTATAGAAGAATAAAAGCTATTGCTAGATCCCAAAAAACACCCAGAAGCCGAAGCCTCATAAGAACGAACACATGCACTCACTGTGAAATTCTTATCCCACCACATCCATCCTTCTTAAAAAGCTCTTGTGCTTCCCTTCTCCGTGCCCACGCTGCAAACTGACATGATTTCTGTCAGGGAAAGAAGTCCGATCAGGGAGTAACATTCATCCATCGGCCGAGAGTCAAATCCAACCAAAACGTACAAGATAAACTCAGTGGGGTGATTGTGCAGTTCCCTTTATATAAAGGGATAAGAGCCTGTGGGAATGGTCTGAGGAGGAAAAATATGTAGATCCAGGCACAAACAGGAGAGGAGGATGTGGGCGGGTGCTACACACCCACGGCATTCCCGTTCGCTTGTGTCGGAGGCCGCGGGGGGAGCGGGCTGCGTGGAGGTCCGGCAGGTGGAGGGTGCGGGGCGCGAGGAGCCTCTGCTGAGTTCCCCCTCACACTGATGTGCTCCCATCCTCCCTGCAAATCAAAAACACAGAAATGATAATACTTAAACATCTGCATCACATACAGCTCTCAGGAAGATAGATGCACTGAAAGACATCATTGAGGCCACGATATACAGGGAACGTGTTAAATGAAGAAATTCAATTACTGTTTTTTTTTGTAATTTGGATTTTAATGATTAAGATCATTAACATTCATCAACATGAACATATAGGCACTGCTGTCCACCCCTCATTGATCTGTTTAAAAACATGTATCAGTCCTCTGCTGAAATAATATTTCTCCTGTTTGAGAGATTTTTTATTTTAGGAAATGACAGAGCTTCATGACAATATGAAACTTTACACTTGTGAGCCGTTTTAAATATTCCGTAGTAACGAATTGGCCCAGGCTGTGAGACAGTGGCATGCTGGGAAATCAGAGAGTATTGAGAGATGGAAAAAACTCTTCTTTGCTCTTTTCACTGGATTTGGTGACTGAGAAAAATACAAAATATCAATTTATTATTATTATTTTTTACTTTATCACTGATTCATGGATCTTGATGAAAAAAACATTTCTGTAAGAGATTGATATTTATGGGTGTGTGCAATTTGGTGCAGATCCATAATGAATTTACATGTGGTTTCATAAGAGGGCTGTTGGATGAAACATTTAATGATTACACACTCACCCCTATACCATAGTCCCAAGACTGGCCCTTGGGTTGCACAGGTCCCACCCCCAGCCTGTGACAGACAGCCCCCACAGTCTCAGCAGGGAAACCAGGAACTCCGTCTGCTATGATCCACACCTGGAGAGAACAAGAGCACTGAGCCAAACGCCTCCTATTCATGGTTTATTATTATTATTCCTCGTCTTTGATGGCTGAGGTAAGCGTCATCATTCTCACTGTATTCTAGCTCTCTGAGGTTTACGGCTTCCTGCCCTCACTTCCTGTCTACGCCACAGTTAGGAAGGCTGTAGTAACACTGACCTGGTCCAGCGGTCCGACAGAAACCTTGGTGACGTTGTTGGAGATCAGCTCCCATGCGGAGCCCTGAGGGTAGCTGGGCGTGAGGCCCTGTCTGTACCACAGGTTACCTACAGGACAGTAAAATCAGTTTGACACTATTTTTAATTCACATTTCCAATTTTTAAGTGATTAAAAAATAAACTCCACATACTGTTTTCATCCACAGCGAAGACAGAGGTCCGGCCCACTGACAGCTGTCTGAGGGTCTGCCTCGGAGGAGACGGGATGTGGTACCAGCATTCCCCTGTAGAGGGACGACAATGCTGGATGTTTGGTTTCATTTGGATCATTACTGAGAAAATTACGCACATATGATTCAAAAATAATAATAATAATAAGCTTTTCTGTTGCAGATGTTTAGCTCATACAGTGTCACACTGAGCTTCACGTCCGAAGCTCACCTGCAGGGTTTTGTGGGGACACGGAGCCTCTGTAGAACACGGCTCCATCCTTAGCGATGGCCCACACCTGGTTGGCTCCACCGATGGAGATGGACTTAAACGGCTGATCCGTGCCGACGTGTAGCCACGAGCTGCCCTGTGAGATCAGACACTCTGGAGTTAATATCAAATACAGTGTTTGTGGAGAAGAGATGAATTCAAACTAAACGTCAGTGAAATTTTAATTCCTGACTTTGGGACATTTCCTGCAGCACATGTAAAGTCCTCTGATTGAGACTCATGTGTTCCGTCAGTAATATTCTGCACAGCTTCCTCACCGCTGGGTTTTGGGGGCAGACTCCCAGCCGGCACAGGACATCTCCCTTGTCGCTGACGGCCCAGACAGGGACCTGCTCCATCCTGCTCTGGGCCAGACACGGCATCAGAGAGATGTCGCTCAGTGGGATGGGTGGGACCGGCTGCCACGGACCCCTCAACGTGATCTTACACTTCCTGTAGGACACAAAGGGGATCATCTTGATGATGAAGAAAATTGTGAAATTTAAAACCACAGAAATATTCAAGTGTGGGCGATTACCTCGTCCATCTCCTGCGCCGGACAAAGTCTTTCAGGGTTTTGTGGCCATGAAATGTGCTGCAGGACAAAGACACAAGTTAGAAGTTGACTTTTCATTTCTGTTTTCTCTGAGACAAAGTCCTGAGAAAATGCTGTTACTCACACAGGGAAGTCTGCAGCATACTGCCACCCTTCTTTGTCTGTCCCCCCGAGGACGTTGTAGTCCACAGTCCACTCTGACACCTGAGACACAAGCAGTTGGCAGAGAATTAGGTGGTGATGAAAAAAAGAAATGAAACGTGTGCAGGATTTAACGTTTTATATATAACCCACCCAGGACCACTGAGGGGAGGGCGGGTGTGTGTTTCCTTTGGTGCACTCTTTCAGGCCACTTTCGTCACTCCACATGGGGCGGTCTGTGGGAAGTCCTCTGGAGAGAAATGTTTTTCCAAAGCCAAAAATGTTTTAGCGAGAGAGTCTGACCAACAGCCTTTAAACGAGCACAACTCCAAAAGCTCCAAATGATCAACTGTGAAGATTTTATCCAACAGGGTGAAAGAGGAAATGTTCCTACTTGTCTGTGTATCCTGTCATAGGGTTCCATCGCTGGTTCTCAAACACATGTACACTCCTGACATCCGTCTGCTGGTGCGTCTGAACAGCTTCTCCTGTGGGGAAACACAAACGTGGACGAAACCGTAACAAAGGCACGTGATCAGTTACACATGTGTTTGCCTACGTGCGTCTATGACTGCAAAAGATGGCAGACATCAGAACCATGCTCAAGCAACTGCACACGGAACAACAAGCTGTGAGCAAGAAAACACTGCATTGATTCTGTTTGTGAGTTAATTAGACATGAGCCAGAAATCTGTGGTAAATATTTCTCCAGCTAATGATTATTTTCTTTATAGACATCTCTACCAATTATAGATTATGGAATACGCATTTAGCCGCTTTATACAGTATATACATGTATAAAAAAAACGATCAATTTCGCTAACAAATTACTAGAACATAAAACTAGCGTATAAAATTACTCGTCTTTCGAGGGAATCTGAACGGTTTGCTGTTCATATGTATATCTATGGGGGCAGGTTTACCAGGGGTGGGCTGTTGCCCGTAGCGCCCACTGTGGACCCAGGCGGTGCCGTCCCACCCGACGCCCCACACCAGCCCCAGACTGTTAGACTCTATGCAGCGCAGGTGTCCCGGGACCTGCCGCCAGAACCTGCAGCACCATACAGCGGAAGCAGCACAATTACCCACATCACTGTTAACACACACTTCAGCACGAGCAGAGGAGAAAGTGCTGCCACACACAGAGTGAAAGAGACAAGTAGCAGCTCAAATACCAACTACTTTCATCAGGCAGAGCCGTGGGTTAGCATGTTAGTGATTAAAAGCTAACAGCTGAAGGGGGGAAGTGAAAAGACAATATGGCGTCTTGTCTTTGGTGTGAGTCTCACATGAGGTCACAGGACAGTGCGTTGGCAGAGGCCTCCAGAGAGAAGGACGGCTCATGGACCATGATGTCTCCCTTTGAGGTGGTGGACCACAGGGCGTGTCTGGACGGGGAACCTGTGATCCCACGACACTCACAGCAGCAGTCGGACAACAAGCACAACTGGAGAAAGACCAGGAAACATCAGGGAATGTGATCAGCAAAGCTCGAAAATATTCACCGACAAGATAAAAGGTGAAAACTCAAAACTCAAATTCTGCCACATTCATATAAAGTCACACATTTGTTACATCTGTCAAGGAGTTTATGTTTTCACCCCCGTCTGTTTGTTTGTTGGTTGATTGGTTTGTTTGTTGGTTAATTGGTTTGTTTGTTGGTTAGATAGCGGAGGCATGTTGAAGGAACTGAGTGGTATTCAGGTTGCTTCTGCTTTACCCAGTCATTCATGTCCTTTTCCGTTTGTGCTGCCAGAACCAGAGGCCACCTCTGTTTGGTCCTTTGGGCTGTGTACACAGCAAAGGCATAGTGGCAGTCCCTGAGCACTGGAACCAGCACTGTCACTTCGCTTATGAACACATGGAGGTACTGAAATAAAAGAGAAAGTTGTGTGATAGTTGTCTAGTTGATGAAATACATGTTCCGACCATAATCTAAAAGCAAAACCAACCTTTTTCTCGTCATACTGTGTGTAATAGACGAAGAAAATGCTGTCCCTTCTGCCGTCGCACTTGGTGGACTGCTCCAGAGCGACGCCCACATCCACCCAGCGTTGCGGCTTCCAGTCTCGCCACCAGCGCAACGCACCTTTACGCACCCACACCGACTGGAGAGGGCGACGGGACAAAGATGGGAGCTTGTGTGAGATGTGATTAAATGTGACCGGAGAGGAGACAAGTTCAAATGAAGACAGACAGTTGCTGAACCGGTCTCACGTTGCTTCTCTCCAGCGGTTTCTTGCTGATCTCCTCTCTGTGCTCCTGCTGCTGCTGCTGCTCGCTCCAAGCTGCCGACTGAACTGGAGTCATTGACAGAGAGCTGGTGAGAGGACCTGACAGACACACACACACACACACAAGTCACACATTTAAACACACACACGCACATACACAGGTGACACTCAC